CTGTCACCTGGGCAGAGGGGGAGAGGAGGGGTCAGGGCAGCGGGGCCGTGGTGCTGCCCAGGGAGGGCTTTGTGAGCCGGGGCAGCGTTTGCCACGGCTCCGCGGGACGGGGACCTGCCCCCGGTCCTCACAAGCTCCCCCGGCTGCATCCCTACCAGCAGGAGGTGAGCAGGGATGGAGGGTCCCCGCTGGGGAAGCAGGGGAGGTGGCCGAGATGGGGACACGGGGTCCTGCAGGGACTCATCTTTGAACTCTCCCGCAATGAGCAGGGATGCTTTACGCCCAGGCCAGAGTCCCGCAGCAACCCGATGATGCTCCAGCAGAGATGGGGCTCTGCAGCACCGAGCGTCCCTGCGCGTCCCAGGGCAGCAGGGTACCACCGGCTGCGCTTTCAGACACGCCGAGGAAAGAAAGATGGAAGCAAAAAGGTTTGAAGCCCAACCTCCCCAGGGCCACCTGGCCCCAGCCACCCTCGGCTGTGAGCTTTCCGCGCTGGACCCCACGGCTCACGACACGGCTCAAGCCCCACAACACACAGCGAGCCAAGGACGGGGGGAGCGGGGCCAGAGGGACTCAAGATCTCAGTTCCTCCCATCCACCCCAGATGGAGCAGGGCCAGGACAGACACCTGCGCCGGCAGACGGACTCTTCTGCTTCCCCTGCTCCCCACGGGGTTCACATTTCACGCACGAGGGCCCCGGTTGGGCTGTAATTACAAGCTTGGCGGGGGTCTGCATCCTTCTGCTCGAGCCCAAAGCCCAGTGGTCCCCACGCCGGGGGACGGGCTGAGCCGGGGCTGCAGCTGCCCTGCGAGGGAGGCGCAGGTAGGACGAGCGGAGCGATGGCATCCCGGGGAGCTGGTGGCAGCGTGTTTGAGGGCAGGACCCCTGGGTGCTGCTTGGGCACCCCCAGTCCTGAAATGAGCAAGGCAGCGTGCCTCGAGCTCCTGCAGTGTCCCTGGAATGCTTCAGCTCTGGAGTGTGAAGCCAGTTTTGGGGGGGATGAGGGGGTGTCCCCCCCCAGCGCTGGGCCCCTAAGCCGCGATCTGGCCCCCAGGGGGGGAGCGGGTGATCGTCCGGGTGCGTGGGCTTGACGGGACAGCATGGGGGCTGCGCCTGCTGACTCAGCAGATAGAGCTGCTCTGTCAGGAGCTGAGTCACCAAAGCAGACAGCGATTCCCAGCACTGCCCCGGGCTGGGAACCCCCCCGCTAACCCGGGGCAGGGGGGCTGGGGCGAGCCGCCTGCCCTTCGCCTCGTCCACACGCTTCGATTTCAGCTGTTTGAACACACAGGCAGTGCTTTTCAGCTAAAACCCCTCCTGCTGCCCACACTGGGGATGGAGACAGGGAGAGGGGAGCCTGGGGCGATGGAGGTCCCTAAGGGTGCCATCTGCCTGGGGTGACACCCAGCATCGCACCGCTCACGGCCACGCCAGGGCTTCCCCGACAGCTGGCAACGCTCCACAAGCTGCCCTGTGGGGAGACGAGCCTGGAGCATCCCATCTCCGTGCCCGTCCCAGCCCTGGGAGCACACCGAGCTCTGCTGATTTCCGTGCCGTCAGGCTGATTTTCTGCCCCTGGGAATGACCTGGTGAGGCCGTCACCCTCCAGGACGCCTCCTTGTCCCCACACCGGCTGCTTTGGGACCTGCCACCGAGTCCTGAGCAAAGGCTCTCCCGTGAGCCAGGGCTGAGCCTGGGGCGGGGTGCTGGCCCTGGGCTGGCTCTCCCCACTGTCACCCATGGCCGGGGGAAGCAGCCGGCTGCCCCCCACCCTCCCCAGCCCCTTATCAGTGGGCGCCAGACGCGAGGGGACCAGCTGCCCTCGGGGACGGCGGTGAAGCGCGGTGAGCAGAGGCCACCCCAGCTCGGGTCGGGGATAAGGGGCAGCAACCCCGGGGCTGGGCTGGTCCCGCTCCCTCCCCTCCGGAGCCTTCCCCGCTCACTGCCGGCACTAAAACCCCCTTATTGACAAACACAGCCAAGCCCCCAGTTCATGCTCAAGCCCCAATTGCTGGAGGCAGGTGATGGGGGGCTTTTCTCTCCCACCCCGCGGAAGGCGCAGAGTGAGAGCACGAGGCACTTCGAGCACCTAAATACAGTTTTTACATGCTCAGTGTTTCTTATCAGCCACATCGTTTCTGACACGGGTCTTGCCCGAAACTCCCG